GAATTGTACGACGCTTAATAAAACGTTGTTTAAAATGTACAGATATTTCTTCCAACACGCTTATCCCCTTTCACCTCTTAGGATTTTATATGATAATTGTGTTTGATAAAAATATAGTTCTTTATTTGCGGTATGATGATTATTAGACGTTCGAGAGACATTCGAGAGACGTTCGATAGACGTTCGAGAGACGTTCGATAGACGTTCAAGAGACATTCGATAGACGTTTCATAGTAATCGCGGGGCCTAGGTTCGAGCTTACCTACATCCCGGCACGTTTCTCTCTGGACATGTGCCTGACGTCACGGCCGCCATCTTACCCGTAAATGTGACGTCTATTAGCAATAGGCAACAATGGTTTTAGGAGGTTCGAGCGTTCGATAGCAACCGCGGGGCCCAGGTTCGAGTCTAGCAACACACAGCACATTTTTCTCCGGACATGTGCGTGACGTCACGACCGCCATCTCTTACCCGTAAACGTAACGTCTACTAGCAATAGGAGGCTGTGGCCTACGAGGTTCGAACGTTCGAATAGCAACCGCGGGGCCCAGGTTCGAGTCTAGCAACACCCGGCACGCTTTTTCTCTCGTGACGTCACGGCCGCCATCTTGCTCATAGAATCAAAAATTCTGGGGAGGAGAAGAGTATCAATAAAGAGACGGAATCAATAAAGAGGGAGATCAATAAAGAGGGGGTATCAATAAAGAGGGGGCATCAATAAAGAGGGGGGGGGGGTATTAATTAAAAAATATTAATTAATAAATAACGTCTTTTGTATAATTAATTTAAAAAGTGAGTTAGAATCCCTATAGTTTAACTATTCATATACTTATCAAGAGACACGGTCATGTCTCGCGCCAAGTTCACGCGCAGCAACGGCGCGGTGGACCGTATATCTATACGTGACGCATCTAGTTGGGAAGTATCACCAATATCGGATCTCAATAACGGCTGAGTTGAAACGGATTGATTTCATATTAGGCTTAATTGATAGCTTGGGGTCGAATTATATAATGAAAATATTTTTATTTTTGGGGTTGAATTATATAATGAAAGTATTTTTGCTCTACGTATCTTAGGTTAGGTTAGGTATCCTAGGACCAGAGATATTACGATGTATAGTAAAAAATGTGAAATTTCTATGATTAAGAAATTAAGAAACGTCGTCGTCGGAGTTGTCTTTTTCCAATTTACAACACAAGATGCTACTAGCTAAGTAAATATTAAGTGTACAAATGAATAATCCAATTTTTTTAGCTACATTCAAGGTTTATTTTAAAAGAAAGTAAATTAAATTGTTCAATCAAAGTATTCGCCGTTGCTTTCTATAACTTTAAGCCATCTTTCAGGCAGCTGATGAATTCTATCTCGGAAAAATGTTACGTCTTTGGACACGATAAAGTCGTCAAGCCATTTTCGGATCTCATCCACTGATTGGAAGTGCATATCGGACAAGGCGTGTTGCATCGACCGGAACAAGTGATAATCGGATGGAGCAATGTCTGATGAATACGGGTGCTGTAAGACGTCCCAGCCAAGACTCATTATGATGTCTTTTGTATTAGAAGCAATGTGTTGTCATGCAACAATTCACTGGACGTTCTCCTTTGCCAGTATACGGGCGTTTTCGTTCCAATTCTTGACTCAAGCAGATTAATTGACGTTGGTAGCAGTCCGCAGTAACTGTTTCACCTGGTTCCAACAACTCATAATAAAGCACGCCTTTGATATCCCACCAAATGCAGAGAAGAATCTTCTTTCCGAAGCGATTGGGTTTTGCAACCGATTTTGATGATTCGCCGGGATTTACCCATGACTTTCTGCGTTTCGGATTGTCATAAAGTATCCATTTCTCATCGCCCGTAACGATTTTCCACAAGAAAGACTTTCGACGCTGCTTATTGAGAAGAGAAAGACACGCTGCCACTCGTTGATTTTGGTTGGTTTCAGTGAGTTCATGCGGAACCCATTTTCCTTCTTTCTGGATCTTTCCCATCTCATGTAGGCGTTTGGAAATAATTACTGCGTTACTCCCTACTGTTTTGCAAGCTGTTTTTGTTTTTGTGCCAAATTCTCAGCGAGCAGTTGTTCCAAATCATTATTATCGCACTTCGGAGGGCCTCCAGGGCGTTGTTTGTCGATTAAACTGAAATTGCCGCTTTTAAACCGTTTAAACCAAAATGCGCACACATCGTACGATACAACACCTTCTGCGAGAAAGGAACAAATCGATTCGCACGTTCTTGCAGCATTTTTTCCTTGTTGGAATTCGTAAAGAATGCAGTGTCGGATATGCACCTTATCTGTTGCCATTTTCGACTGTACTGAACTGAATACTTTTGAAGGTTATGTTGGGCCTTTCGCCAAACTATGTTCTTTTTAATAGTTATATGTCAACATTGCATAATCACAAAAGAGCGGGAAAATCTATTCAATTAAATTAAAATTGTTTTCATAACTGCTTAAAATAATTTGGATTATTCATTTGTACACCTAATATATATCTATTATACTAGGTGCGCAACTAAGTTTCCGGGTTTTTTTGATCAATGAAAAATGGAAAATTTCAAGAGAAATACAAAAATTGGTTTATTCAAAGTATCGTCCTTCGCTAGCTACACAGTAGCTACACAGTTTTGCCATCTCTCTGGCAATACATGAATATCGCGACGATAAAACGACGCGTCTTTGGACCGAAACCATTCATCCAACCAATTTTGCACTTCTTCTTTGGCCAAGTGTTGCCCAGCTAAGCCATGCGCCATCGACCGGAACAAGTGATAATGAAGGGGCCAGGTTTGGCGAATACGGTGGGTGCAATATCCTTAGGAAAAATCACTTTAAATTTTCAAATTAACTTAAAATTACCTATAGTTAACTGTAAGTAATTTATAGTTAACTATAAGTAACTTTAAGTTAATTTGAACATCTTAAAATAATTTTTCCTAAGGGTAGCAGATCCCATTTCAGCGTTTTGATGGTGTCCTGGACGATGGAAGTGCGATGGCACGGAGCGTTGTCATGCTGTAATATCAATATATGCATTCGTGTCTCGTGTCCCATTCTGGCCGTTTTTCGCGACGGTCAGTGCGAGCCGTTAACGCGGCTCGCACTGACCGTCGCGCGGCGTCAAAACGCTAAGACGCCATCGCGACAGTCAGCGCGAGACGCGTTATCGCTCAGCCCCTACGCACACAGCTTGCCGCGGAGTGTCTATAGACCGCGGTGGACGTGGAAAATGCCAAACTTACGCGGTTATTACTAAAAAACTATTACGATTTTCATATTATGATATAGAACTTTTTTGTTCCTCTCACTTAGCTCTATGTCCCTACGGAGCCCGTATCCCAAAGTTCTGAGACACCCTGTATATATGATTAGTGGCTGTCAATGTGTCAAATTTGTGGAGACGCACACAGTCGAAATTATATAATATCATAAGTATGTTAATTATTTTATTATTTAATGATTTAATTTAAAGATACATTGCTTCTGGATAGGGTGACCATATGTACTCTTTTAAGAGTATATGCCCAGACAACACCGGACATCCAATGGATGTACGTTTCACGTCCAATTTATGTCCGTATGTCCGATTTACGTCCGTGGACATAAATTGGACGTAACAAGGATGTCCTTATTGGACATCGGACCTGTAGGACGTTCGATGTACGTCCATCGGACGTCCTATGTCCGAAGTTGTGACAAACGTACGTCCTATGAACGTCTTTTGTAAAAAAAATGGACATATAACGGACGTCCAATGGACATCCGTGTGCTGTCTGGGTGTACTCTTTTTAAGGTGGTAAAAAGAGTATTCTCTACTTTTTACGTATGTACTCTTTTTTCGTAATGTTAATTATACTTTATCGATAATGACCAGAGAACAGACTTCAGTGATGTTTTCATTACTTACAGCATTTGAGCGCCGCAACGCCAATACCGATTATGCGTAGAGGTTCTGCGCAACGGTGCCCCGCTAGTTACTATAAATGGTGCAGCACAATCGACACTGGCGCGTAGCGCTCTGGCGTTGTGAGTGCGGAAAATGTCGCTGATGTCCGCTCTTTGGTAACGACAACAGTGAAAACCGAAATTGTTAAGCGATGTACGTAGTGTAAAATATAATTATAAAATATCTTAATAATATAATAAAATATATGTGTTCGAGAATATTTCTCAGTTTATTTATTACCCACTGTTTTATTTTAAATATTATACCTAGTAATCAATTAATCATTGTCCTAGATAAAACACAAAATCATTTTGACGTCAAAATGACATAATTTTTATATTATTTGACGTCACCTTGACTTTTATATGATTTTGTTCTACTTACTCTACTCTTTTGGGATCGTAATTAGTACTCTTTTATACATTTTTTTACTCGTCTTTTACTCTTTTTTTATGACTGGGATATGGTCACCTTTCTGGAAGTCATGAATATGAAAATACAAAATATCGATTTTTAGTAATACATTAATATAGAACAGATTTGTGGAAAATTTTTGAGGCAAATAGTAGACAATTTACAATATACAAACTAGCTTTGCAAATAGTAAGATGATTATAGATTATATTTATTTTATACCCATATAACTTGTTATATTTTGATAGGTTATGACAGAGCTCGGCAAAATGTGCACGCGACGGCCGATTTTCGACTATCTCCGCCCACCGCTATTCCCTTTACCTCACTGCTCCGCGCTGCCTACAAGCCGCTCGAGTCTCAGGAGCGTGTTTCTAATAGTTTTCCACGTCATCCATGAAATACTATTGTTGACGCGTTTTTTTTTTAAGTGGTATCCCCAGTAGACCTCTTCATTTTTCAAAAATGAAGTTTATAAAAAATGAGAAGTGTTTTTCTTTAAGCGACGATTCTTTACCACGTCTTATGCGGTTCGCTACATGCAATATCCAAATTGACGTTTCCACTCTTACCAATAAAAGACGCCGAAAATCGAATTGAATATTCTTCATTTAACATATTTTATTTCGCTTCTGTTCAATTAGTTACGGGTTGTTACAGTCATCAGTGGATTAGGCTCGATATCGAGCGTCCTCGATATTTAGCCGTCTCCTGTCTTCCTGGGCTCGTGCGTGCGCGTGCTCAGTCGAGCGTATTCGGCCGTCTCTAACCTTTACCCGCCCGAGCCAGGGGTTCGTCCGTCGGCGAACTCCGCTGAGCGTGCTCAGCCTCTGGGCGATCCGTCTAGCGACCAAGGACCCGGGACGGTGCGTCCGTCGTCTCCGCTGAGTGTCAGCAGCACTTGGTCACTCTCCGCTACGAACGTAGGGAAAAGGGAAGGTGCGTGCGCCTTCTCTGTCGAGAGTCCTCGGCCCCGACGGACGAAATCCTTTCGCGTCTTTCGCGACTCGCGTGCGAGCGTTCGACCGAGAGTCGAAATCTCCGGTCCGGCGACCATCTTTGCGCGAGCGATTCCGAGCCGAATATTGGGCAATAATTGTCCCAGACGCCCAACGTCGCGAGGCGGAGCTTATCACTGCGCCGCTAGTCTTCATTGTCTGCACGCGTCGCGCAATAGGCCTCGCCTACCGCGCGGCCTATCTGTCCGTAAACCGCGTGTTCCGTGCACCGCACCGCACCATACCGTACCAACGCGCCTGGTAAACGCAACCCGCGACAACGCCTTCGGGGTCGAACTCTTGTACATAATTAAGTATCGAATAAAGGTAACTTATTTATATTATTATAACACGTCTCGCTGCTTTCCTCCTCACCGAACTCGGACTTCAACGAGCCTTATCCGTGTAAAACGCGTAGCAACGACCGAACCGCGCGGTTCGGCCGTTACAACATAGTAATTCACCATAAAATTTATATGCGTACTGATATAAAAGGTAAAAACTTGTTAATGTATAAAAATTATGTGCATACTAATATAAAAGGTGAAAACTTGTTAATGGATTTACAATCCTACGATCAAGTTTATTTAAGAGACTTTGGCTTAACTTTTCGCTGTACAACAAGCACTGAATAAAACTGAATCCAAAGAAGGCATATGATCCAACTTTACAATACATAAGCAAAGGTGCTCATATGATGGGAGGTAACGAAGGAAAATTCTAATTTATATTGCAATATATGTTTTTTCTTGAATCTTAACTAGAAAAATAACATATTCTAAATGCATGTCTCTTTCAGTGTCAACGGTGCGCGGTGATAATGAAATTTTGTATTACAATATGATTCTTTGGCTGTGTGGTTCATTTCTGTGGGAAAAATTGGCTGATGAAGTTAATGTTCAGGAGGAGAAGGAAAAAGCTTTCGGAAATATATTATAGATAATTTTTTGGACAAATTTTTGTGGATCAGTCCCACAAGTTATGCATAAATTTATAACTTTATTAAGCAGCATGAAATTTAATGATTGATAAAAAGCGTGGTAATAAGAAAGACATTAAGAAAATATTAGAAGATATAGATCCTGATGATGAATATGATATTAAAATTGTTCAAAAAACAAAAAAATTATAATTGGTTGACGAAATGCTTAAAACAGTGGAGAATGAAATTGAATAGTAAAAAAGATATAAGTCAATCATATCCATGATGATTCAGAAAACGATTCAATGGAGGTAATAATCTATTTTATAGAATCTTATATTCTTTAAATGTACGCTTTTCATAAATATCTTTATTCCGTCACTAAAATACTTTTGTACAATAGTCTTTGATAAAACATTCACATACGACAAGTACGACAGAAGAAACCAACCAGGAATGATAAAATAAGACAAAAAGTAACGTCTTTGGATAATTCGACTGCTTCTGAAACCGAGCCTGAGGTAAAACATTTTATATATTTAATCAATTATGTGATTTCATCCTTTTTTTTTAATAAATATAAATTAATATCCAATTTTATGTATGACCAAATTGTGCCAAAAAGAACGAGGTCAAGACTTACTTTTTCTAAGAGGAAAGTAACTGTCAAGAACACATTACAATAAACCAACACTACCTGAAACTGAATCGGAAGATGGTATATTTCATATGTAGTTCTTCGAATTATAGCAGTAATCGAATACATAAAGTAATTGTGAAAAATATGCTATAAAAGAAATTCGTAACTATATATCATTCATATTTTTGTACGTGATTTTCTTATACATTACATTAAATACGTTTTCTATAACAATATCAAACAGAAATTATAGTATTTTATATATTTTATTAACTGCAAATTTTGTTTCAGTTTACAAATGGATAATGCTGAAATAGATAACATATTTTTATAGTTTGATATTTAAATTATAGATTCTTGCAGCTCTATTATTAGCATTTCCTCCTCCTTCTCCTCTATACGGATGCCGTTTGCCTCTGTTGCTCCGTTGTCATCTTTTTGCTGTAATAAAACATTTATAATTAAGTGTGAAATATATGTGAAAATAAATTCATTATGCCGTAATTATATAATATTATATTATTTCTTAATTCTAGCATAATATAATATATAAATTAAAATCTTACGTATTTCTGATGGGACTGGTGGCAGTAGCTGTTCTCCCAAATGCTATGGCTAGGCATCAGACTTCGTTTCTAAATGTTCGATGATCTTTCACTTTTTTAATTGCCACTTGCAGCATTTTATTTTCATCTTTTAATGTTATGTTATCCATTTCAGCATCATCCATTTGTAAACTGAACATATAATGTGTGGACTGTATAAAAAATTAAAATTTAAATATATTATGAATTATTGGGTGTACAAATTAGTTCGGTCCGTTTTCAAAAGATGGCTCCAGCTGTTATGAATGGTTCATAGTGACTGCTGATTTTGGCGGTTTCAGAGAGGTTAGACATCTGCCAATAATATTCAATTTATATCGCTTTGAGTTTCATACAAAAACCTTGCTTTTTACAGTGTTGAAAATGTCGAATTTTGTGTTAACCAAGCAGCATTTGCGGGAGGTTTTAATTTTCTGCTTTAATTGGAAGAAAAGTGCAGCTGAAGCCCATCGAATACTTGTTGAAGTTTATGGTGACGCTGCTCCAACTGATAAATCATGTAGGGAATTGTTTCGACGTTTCAAGGATGGAGATTTCAGCATCGAAGATAAGCCTCGCTCTGGACAGCCAAAAAAATTCAAGGACAAAGAATTAGAGGCATTATTCGAAGAAGATCAGAGTCAAACGCAAAAGAAGCTTGCAGAATCATTGGGAGTGACTCAACAAGCCGTTTCCGTACCATTGAGAAACATGGAAATTATTCAAAAACAAGGAAATTGAGTGCCTTATGAACTGAAACCGAGAGACGTTGAAAAGCGTTCTTCATGACAACGCTCGGCCTCATGTCGCAAAAGTCGTAAAAAAATATTTGGAAACACTCAAATGGAATGTTTTACCGCACCCGCCGTATTCTCCAGACATTGTTCCTTCTGATTACTGGTTGTTTCGAAGGATGCAGCACGATTTGGCAGGTCACCGGTTTACTTCTTTCGCAGATATCGAAAATTGACTCCAAACTTGGATCGCCTCAAAAGACCAGTCATTTTTTCGAGATGGAATTCGAAAATTGCCTGAGAAATGGGAGAAAGTAGTAGCCAGCGATGGAAAATACTTTAATTGATCTGTTCATTCATTTTGTTTTGAAATAAATACATCCTTTAACACAAAAAAACGGACCGAACTAATTTGTACTCCCAATATAATAAATAAAAAGTAAATGATGTATATATTTTATATAACTTTCTATATCTCCTATTACTACCATAACGCAAATATTTATTGATTAGTATAACGCAAGTATTTATTGATTAGTATAACACAAGTATTTATTGATTAGTATAATGCAAGTGTTCATTAACAAAGACTAAAACTTGTATATATACCTAATGTATAAAAAATAATACTATAAAAATATAAAAATAATATTATAATGCTACATACGAGCAAAATTATAATTAAAATAGTACAATAATTTTGTGTAGAATTATTGGTGTTGTAATACGCTCAGTAATTAATCTTTCTCATATCAAATTAATACTATATCTGTCCAGCTGGATACAATTTTAGATGTTCGTTACTATTTAAATGTTAAATAATATTTACTATACTAAGCATTAATTAGCAAATAATGTCATTATTATCTTGTCAAAGTATTAGATGTACAACTTTGCTTCGCCGTTTTCCTATAGATGGCTTTAGCGGTAAGTAGTGGTTGAAATAAATAGATCATAGACGTTATGTAATAAACTTGGGCATCTGTCAACATAACCCCCCCCATAGAAATATCCCAGCATATATTATATAACACACGTATTATATAACAGTTATATTGCTGAGTAGGAAATTACAACTAACATGCACGTTACATGTAATATTGTGTTTGCTGGGATTAGTCGATTTGTGTCTGCATCATAAAGTTATTCTCGATTTAAAATGTCAGTTTACGAGCCAAATTCTCGTCATTTGCAGGAGGTTTTAATTTCCTGCTTCAATATGAAGAAATCTGCGGCTGAGGCTCATCGAATGCTCTCAAATACTTATGGTGAGGCCGCTATTAGTGAAAGAACATGTCGTGAGTGGTTTCAAGAACGGAGATTTTCAGGTCGAAGACCGGCATAGCGGTGGAAGAGAGAAGGTTTTCGAAGATGCAGAATTGGAGACATTACTTAATGAAGACTCGTGTCAAAGTCAAGAAGAATTGGCACGATCATTGGGAGTGACTTAACAAGCAATTTCAAAACGCCTCAAAGACATGGGAATGATTCAGAAGCAAGGAAATTGGGTGCCGTACGAGTTGAAACCGAGAGATGTTGAACGGCGTTTGTTTGCTTGTGAACAGTTGCTTGAACTTGAAAGGCAAAGACGGAAGGGATTTCTGCATCGCATTGTGACTGGGAACGAAAAATGGGTTCATTACGATAACCCCAAGCGCAGAAAATCATGGACATATCCCGGCCATGCTTCCACGTCGACAGCCAAACCGAATATTCACGGCTCCAAGGTCATGCTCTGTATTTGGTGGGACCAGCTCGGCGTAGTATATTATGAGCTGTTAAAACCGACTGAAACAATCACAGACGATCGTTATCGAACGCAATTAATGCGTTTGAGCCGAGTATTGAAAGACAAACGGCTGCAATACAACGAGAGACACGATAAAATGATTTTGCAGCATGACAATACTTGACCCCATGTTGCCAAAGTGGTCAAGACATACTTGAAAACGTTGAAATGGGAAGTCCTATCCCACCCGCCGTATTCTCCAGACGTTGCTCCCTCTGACTATCACTTGTTTCGATCAATGGCACACAGCCTGGTTGACCAGCACTTCCGGTCTTATGAAGAAGTAAGAAATTGGATCGATTCGTGGGTCGTTTCAAAAGATGACCAGTTTTTTCAACGCGGGATTCGTACGCTGCCCGAAAGATGGGAGAAAGTAGTGGCCAGCGATGGACAATACTTTGAATCACAAATGTATAACCAGTTTTTTACAATAAAGCCTTGAATTTCGGAAAAAAAAACGGCGGAAGCAAAGTTGTACACCTAATAATATTAAACAAAATTATTATCAGGATTGCTATATTAAGCTGCAGACGAATAATGCATTTAAATGTAATATATTATTTATAAACATATTTATCTGCAGCTTAATATATTTGTTAACGAATATTTGCATAATATTAAAATATCTTTTTCCTTATCCTGATAATAATTTTGTTTAATATTACTTTGACAAGATAATAATATTATTTGTTAATTAATACTTGTAGTACAATATTCTTTAAAATTTAAATATTAACGAACATCCAAAATTGTATCCAGCTAGACAGATATAGCATTAATTTTGATATGAGAAAGATTAATTACTGAGTGTATTACAACATTAATAATTCTACACAAAATTATTATACTATTCTAATTATAATTTTATGTATCATTATATTATTACTTTTTATATTTTTATTAGGTGTGTATGCACAAGTTTTAGTCTTTGTTAATGAATATTTTCGTTATAGTAATCAATAAATACTTGTGTTATAGTAATAAAATATTATATATATAGTAATAAAAAAATAATTTATTATAATTCGTAATACATTTAAATTTTTGTTTTTTATACAGTCCACACATAATATGTTCAGTTTACAAATGGATGGTGCTGAAATGGATAACATATTTTTATAGTTTGATATTTAAATTATAGATTCGTGTACTTCTATTATTAGCACGTCCTCCTCCTCTATACGGGTGACGTTTGCCTTTGTTGTCCCGGTACTATCCCTCTGCTGTAACAAAACATTTATAATTAAGTGTGAAATACGTGTGAAATATAAATTCATTATGCCATAATTATATATTATATATTACTTAATTATAGCATAATATAATATATAAATTGAAATCTTACTGACAAGGAGATGACGCAACCTGTTTCATCGATTTTAACACGAGTCATAGCACACTCGATAGCTATGATGCCGTGTATAAACGCCTTAACATAATATGTGTGAATGCGTCTTTGTTTACGAGTAATTTGCAGTTAAAGTTTGGCTCGCGGAGCCGTGCCATACATAGGGCGCAAGTTACGAAACTCTTTCACGAAGCGGCGTGGCTGAGCACACAGAGGCTCCCGCGCCGCGAACACTTTTGCGCCGACGACGGCGTTCGAGTCCCGCCGACGACAGGTTCGTTTTTTTTCGTATGTAAAGACATGTAATAAATATTTTTATATTGTTCTTATATATATAATTGCTTTTTTTGTTTCTACGCTATTAATCAAGGCTAATTAGGAGAGTCAGGTCTTTCAAATATAAACACAACTTTTTTATTAATTACAATAAAATGTTTTTGTCCGTATCAAAACACACGCACACACACATATAAGACAAATATAAGGCACACAAATGAAAGTTACGTATTATAAAATGTGATCATGCTGTCGCAACTCTGCGGATGGAATGCCGTATAAAAGCATGTAAAACATAATAGTTTTTTGCACCAACTGCACGTAATGAACGTAATTTTTTGTACAAATACACTTTTGACTATGTATAGTTGGTGAAAAACATATTTGATTGACGTTGTAAAATACCTCGCGACTGTCAACAAGACTGGACGCATACCACGCATATTGGAGCATAAAATTGAAAACTGGTGCTGATAACAGATAGTGTGTGAGCGATTGTATACGAATCGCATCAGCGCGAGTGTTCAAATTTATATTTTCGTCGCCGGTATATAAAGAAGGACAGTTCTGTATACGCTTTATAATGATTTTGACCTGTCTATAGAAATAAACATCGCACGGTTGACAAATTGGCGTACATTTTGGTAGTATTATTTGTAGGTTACACGTTGGCCTATTGTTATTATCGCGA